TCTACGTTCAAAATCCAAAAATTCTACATATACTTTGGTGCTTGTAATGTTAAAACCTTGCCACTCTGTAGGCAGCATTATGACTAGAAAGCTTACATAGCAAATTAATACCTATTGGGATAATGTTTGTCATGATTTAATCATGCTTCAAGAGTTAGTGTGCCCAGGCCTGGCGTTTGAAATCTAAAACTTCTATAAAAAGATTTTTGTAACATGGTAAGCAGCAATTTATCATTTAGCAACAAACCTGCAAACAGTTGATGTGACCAATGAATGCTCCAATGAAAACCATGCTTTTAAATTTGGTGGATGTCTCAAAAATATACACAGGCACAAACTGAAATGACCAACCTACAGCTGTCAAAACTACTGATATGTTTGACTGCCCAAGTGTGCTTCTTTCAAATATATTACGAATTACCTGAAAAACAAATTTAATTTGTTTATATATGTTTTGGGAATTTAACCTCAAACACCCATTTTCAAATTTAATCTACTTAGAGTACATAACCGGATTGTTCTAAGTTGCTACTCGAAGTTTCATGCTTAATGTCAGGCAACTTTGGTGTAATGAGCAGGATGATTCTTAGTTGTTACTTGGATCATCAGGCAAATGATTGTGTGAAACTCAGACTAGCAACTTAGAACTGTCTTGTTCTTTACAACAAATAGCATGTACAGCTCATCTTATATGGCATTGAGCACTTTATGACAGACCAGTAAACAGTAATTTTCATTCTTAATTTTATATGTTGATAAATATTGAAAACATAAAACTCATAAACTCACATATTTCTATAAATATTATGCAAATATTTTTTGATAACGTCTAAATATACTGGAGAAATGTGACTAGTTAAATGAACTCTTGTAGTGCCTCATTACTCATCACAGGCCATACAGAGGGAAAAAATATTCTTATTTGTTTATTTTTCTTATTCTGTTGTAGACAATTTTAATTTACTGCTTCTTCTTTACAAGGCAGTCAGCTTCATTGGAAGCATTTGCCTTGCTGAAGGACATCAGAACAATAGGGGCATTGGGGACACATTTCACCCCAAACATTTGAAGAATAGCTCTTTTTTCTTTACAGAGTCGTCCTAAGAACTTTATATCCCCTTTTCTGAAGTAATAATAGACCCTTTCCCACCTCCATATAGCTAAAATCTTGGCAAAATGACATCATTTTGTCATACAGGGGATTTCATGTCAATTTGAGGCTTGCTTCCACAGGCTTGACCATATCTTTTAACAGGGGAGGAGTTAAAAGCTCTCCTAGTAATTTCCAGGTGAGATTTTTGAAGATAACAAAAAGGAAAAATTGATAACAAGGAGAGCAATTATCTTTTTAGACCAGTTTAAGAGAGCAAAATGTGGCTCTATTCCAGCATTTGAGCAGACCCTGGAGGGAAGCAAGAGCTATGCCTCTCCTCAATGTTAAGGCCTGCTTTCACCAAAAAACATAAAAAGGGTAATTTTCCATTTTCCCAAGTTCTAAAGCATCAATATAATCCAGGCTCAAATCTAAATGACTCAATATAATCCAGGTTGGAGAATATATATGATTTTGTTTACTTATACTTATACTTATACAATTTTTGCATAGGCTCATATCCCGTATCAAAATCCTACAGGGACCACACGGGTAAAAAAGGGGGCTGAGGGGCAATTTTTTAAATTCACGCCAAAGACTATGAGCTGCAATTGCCAGCTAAGGCATTTGAGCTGAGCAATGTTGTTGAGCTGGTTAAGACATCCGTGCATGTGCTAGTTATCTAGCCTGAGGTATAAAGGAGAACCCATGAGTTCTAGAGAATCATTAATGCCTGGTTAGAAAAAGTGATAATTACCTGTGGCAAAAGTCCTACGGAGAACAATATAATTGCAATCCATTCCATTTTGTTCGCTCCACGCAAATTTGGAACAGCAATTTCTATAGAAATTATAGCAAGCCACACGACTATGCTGGTGCCAAAAAGTGTAACTTTAAATCTGACATCTTCTTTGGAATATAACCAAAATTGGAAAAGCAACCCGGCTGACGTTCCGCAGTATATTATAGACGCTATCTTGAAATAAATATTCTTGGAAGAGATTTGGAAAACAAAGAAAGTATGAACTAAGTTTGCAGTGGAGAGTCCTGCAGCCCACAACGAGCTTAGTCCTTTCGTCGACTTTAGATATGAATTTTTGTGCAGCTGTGGAATAAGGGCAAAAACAAAAGCTGTTGCTGACACGTAAAAGCAGAAGGTTGATAGTCCACATATCATGACAGTTAAATCTGACTGGCAATGAAAGGATAATCCAGCCGACACATTTCCATGTGACATTTCGAGGCCTGGCTACTGTTCCTAAAAGCAAGCTTCGCTGAGAGTAGGATGCTTCTGTTGGGCAAATAAAAGCGAAGTTCAAAAATTAATAAGTTGCTTGGAAAAACAAGTCTCTTTTTGCTTGCTTCCATGTTGCATAATCACTTTTCTCCATCTGCAAACTCTGTTGATCTTGATCTCGCAAATCTAACCAAGCATCATCCACAATCGCATCAACAACTTTTGGAATCCCTTTTGTCTTGATCTCGATTTAAATCACCGTTGTAACTATGACCTCTTTTTCAAACAATTTTGATTTGATTTGATTTTGATTTAATTCAAATTCTACTACATTTTTAAAAAAGTTAGATTTTAGTTATATAAATTATAAACACATCAACTAAAGAACGCAACAGCAACAATAACATTATTTAAAAGACAAGTCTAAGCAGAATTCTTAAGGAGGAGCCTTCAAAGTAGGTTATCTAACGAGATGGACCCTTGTTTCAAATTCTTCCCAATTTTTTATTCAAAGGCATTTTATTATCATTATTACTTATTGTTATCAATAATGATAAAGTTATTATTATTATTAGTTTATTTAAAGGTTTAATAAGGCTCTCGAATACAAAGTTGTTGAATGTCATCCTGTACGGCCTTGAGCAAGCTTATATCCACGCCTCCAAACGTTTTGAATAAGAAACCAAAACTTGTAATTCTTCTTTTTCGCAATTTCTTCTAAATTGTAATTCTTTTCTATTTTATTTTGTAAAATCATTCATGTATCAAAATTATCATTTTGTAGTTGTGTTTTAGATCCATGTTAAAAGCCAGGGGGTAGTCATGATATCTTGCTTCTCCTGGTATTTTCCTCGTAGTGTTGTATAGTAATTTTGTTAGTTAGTTATTCGTCATTGTGAACTTTTAATATGGGATTAAAAAAAAGCTATACCTGTAATATACAGGTCAGGACTGTGATATTTTATGCCAAAATCTATTTATCAGTTTCAGTTTAGTTTCAGTCTCATATTTTAAAAATTCCATTACATACAATTTATCAGTTCAATACTGCACACAATACGATTTAAACACAAACCTGAAACAGAACAAATACAAAAGAAAAAAAGAAATAATAGCATACATATCACAATGTTTGAAGTAGGGTAATTTCTTAAGGAGCTACTCCCTCAGTAGCTGGGCTAATCGAAGGGAGAGCACTCCCTGTTCTAAGATTGAATAGTATGCGTTACCGCTAACATATTTTTATCTAACTTATGTAAAGACCATGGGTGGCTAGTAATCTATTTGTGTCAAATTAACTTAAATCAGGTAAAGTACTTTCAAAAAGGAAGATTTTTAGCTTTCGTTGGAAAATTTTTTGGCGAAAGAACTTTTAACATTAGTAGGTTTGTCATTCCAGCACTTCTCTCTAAAGTATCGAACAGACCGAATATCATATTTTAACGTGTTCCCTGAGTCAGGAACATTTTTTCTGGTACCTTGTCGTGTACGATGTTGATGAACTGCTTTATTGTCGACCCTTACTTCAAATTATGCATCTGGGAAGATATATTTTTTCAAGAGTACCGCCAGTATAGTTCCCGCTAAGGTAGCTTGAACATCAAGGACACTCCTCACATACGAGTATAAACGTTGTATAAGTGAATAATGTTTAAGGTCTTAAAAGAGGCTTCCCCCCCTCACTTTCAAACTCGTGGCGCGGGCCCTGAAAAATGGTTTGCTAAGAAACGGTGCAACGAAATCGAGTCTGAAGGGGGGGAGAGAGGGGGCTGAGAATCAAGTTTAGAGATATAAGAGGACCCAGCATGTTTGGGTCCGACGCGGAAGAAAATTTTTTAAATTGTATCTTGTAGAAGGGCTAAAAATGCACCCTCTTGACTAAAATTAAACATATTACTATACCGCTTAAAATACACAATTCGACGATTCTCAGAAAAATATCGATAATTGATGTTTAGGAATAATTTAGGAGGGGAGGAGTCATGCTAAAACTCTTTTGACAGACGTTGGGGAAAGAAAGAAAGGGTAACCTTTGGTTCAGAGTGCACATCAATGTATTGATTGAGAGAATTTTACTTCCTGAACAGAGAAGTGCATCTTCTTTATCTCGAGCATTTTCAGTAGGCTATGTTTACAAAGACAAAATGCAGGCATTTCAATGATACAGAAAGTTATCTACAGAATTGATGCAAATGATAGATAAACAATAGAAATATACCTTTAATAAGTTAGTAAATAGATCAAATAAAACCAATCAGTATATGAACAGTTTGTTTTTTATTTCATACTCTGTTTTAAAAAGCAATAAAAAAGAAAGTCAATAAATTTGATCTCTGGAAAAGTGGGGGGAGGGGCCCATAGGGGTCCGTAGTTATGCCCCAAAGTCACGTCTACGCCCCAACCACGTAGCTGTAGATGTCAGCTAGGATGGGCAAACTCGAACAAGAGCCATACCTGAGGGGGCAGGCTGCAAAACAGGAAAGCAGATATATAACAAACAGATATATTTTGACTAAATCAAGCTCACAGAATTATAATTATGCCATTTTTTCAAAATGTCATTTAGAATAACTGTAGGCAGAGGGGCAAGTTGTTGTCAAAATTTTCATTTGGAAAGGGGAACACCCCGCGTGCTCCCCCTGAAGCTACGTGGCTGCTACGCCCCCGCCCATGATTACGAGAAAAGGGAATCAAATTTTCTGCGCGACGGATTATTCAAAAGAGAAGACCCGCTGAGATGCTTTGCCATGTGTCCATCAGCGGTGTCCATCTCTATGTTTACCACACCGCTTCCTGAGTGACATGCATCATGGCGTTCATCAGTAAGATAGAAAAGGCATCTCCAGGCCTGTATGCAGCAGTTGGATTTTTAATTCTGGGCTTGATCTTATTGATTGTGGGTGTTACTGTAAACATCAAATGCAGCAATGAGAAGTCGCGGACATCACCTTCAAGTGCCGGAGGCCAGCGAAATATCACTGGACTCAAAGAGTTTTGCAAGTACTCACCGGAAGCAGAGAGAATCGGCCTCGAATCGTTCCTCAAACGAGTAAAGGAAGCCTATTACGGAAATATGCCTAACCAGGTCGCTTATGACCCTGATGTGAAGTTCAACGACCGATTTGAAGACTTGAAGAAAAGGTTGAGTATTCATGAAATATGTTCACCATCATCATGATCACCATCATCATGATCATTATTAGGGAAGCCTGCACTCGAAGGGGGCCAGTCACCAATAAAAAGGGCAAAGCAACAGTAAAACGAAAAATGCTTGATTTCGCGAGGGCAAAGGGGCCACAGCCCCACTGCCACCCCCTGGCACAGGGGTCTTGATGTTGATCATTATTATGATCAACATGATCAGGATCATAATCATAACCAAAATCGTTATTTTAATCAACACATAATTATGATTTTAATCATGTGCGCGATGTAATTGTTCCAGACTGGTATGGTCCCGGAGTCATGTTAGTAAGGAAAGTCATGCCCGGGGGGGGGGGGGTACTTGGATACCAAAACGACGGGGGTGTGCTCTCCTAAGATTGTTTTGGTGAACCGGCTTTAGAAAAAAAAGCTGAAAATGACACCCGGTTTTAGAATTTCTGGAAAAAAGAACAAAGGAAAACAAAAGTTTTGGTGCCAGTTGCCATGGTTGCCAGAACACCACAAAAACAATGGGCGGGCAGCCTCTTTGCTGTTATTTTTTAATAGAAAAAAAGCGAAAATCAGGCAACCGGCTTTAGATTATATCCTTTGAACAGATACCCGGCCTTAGAAAAAATTGCTGACAATGATATCCTGTCAGCAAAACATACTAAGTAGCCCCCCCCCCCGGGGGAGTCAGGTCAGTCTGGAACATAATCATTTACAATTTTTACAGGTATTTCCCATATGATCCACGTCCCGAGGCTCTGAAGCGAAAGACAGATGCGGCCTTGAAGTTGCTGGCAGAATTGAACAGAGTCAAACATGACCCTAACAAACTGAAGCCAAGGGAAAACAGAGTCATTTACCAGGTGACCAAAAACAAGTTGTTGAATAATGCGTTAAAATAACTGTTTTTGTAGAAATTCAATTTCATTTTTCTCAATAAGAAAGTAAATGTAATCAGCTTTGAAAGGTCATTAGATTGGTGAAATGTATAGATTAACAATTCTGTCGATTATATTGATTCATCTCGCATAAAGAACTTGGGAAATTTTATTTAAGAACACCCTTTGTATTGCAGCTCCCTTTTACATGACTATAATTTCACCCAAGAACCAAGCTTGTCCCTCCCCGAACACAATAATACTTTCCTCTATTTACTGTTGCCTTCCCCCCGCTGTGTTGTATCTTCACTATTTTTTGTTCTTCTTTCCTCCAACCACTTTGTTTATTTTTGCTCTGCTCCCCTTTCTCTCACTTACTTTTTTCTTTGTTCTTCTTCTCACCCCCAGATTGTTTCCATTTCTTCTACCCCCCCCCCAATTTGGTTCTCTATTGTTCTTCCACAATTTTGCTACTTTGTTGGATTTTGTTCTTCTACACCTCCTTACACCTTCTTCCCCTACTTAGTTTTGCCTTTCAAATCTTTCAGTTCTCCTTCTAACCAATCAGTTCCAATTTTTATCAGTTTCCTCACTAAAGCATTTAAAAGTTCACCTACCACACACTTGATTTCAGGTCAAACATTATTTAAAGACAATATTTGGCGCTCCATACGACACCAATTTTTACGCTGGGGACTGGATGCTTGGCCCAAATTATTTCTGTTGGCAGCCAATATGTAATATGCAATACGATGTGAATGCTCTTGGCTTTTACTCAAGGCCAAAAACAAAGGAGGACATCGAGCATCTTATCAAAAAGGTCACAAACCACAGCATCACTGTCGACAACTACATGTAAGTTTTGGTCTTACCTAGGGACACTGGAGAAGGGGAAGCACGAGGGGGGGGGGGGTCAACCAGCCCTCCTGCCCTTTTTATTTGAGCCTGCTGTTGTCCAGAAGGAATGAAATATGATTATAGCGTTGCTAGTTTCCTAGTTTGAAATCCACTTCCAGGTTCCGGGTTTCACTTGCAAACAAACATATTTGGCTGTTGATCCTCCTGTGTACCGCATGCTAATTCTTCCGATAACATATGGTATCCAGACTTGAATTCGCAGACTTGAAGTTTTTATTTCTGTGGCTTTGTTGATTATTTTGAAACAATCGATGGGATCAAAAATCATAATTATATCAGCTGAAACATCGCCCCTAAGTATTTGAAGTAAAGCTTTCGTCTCGTCTTTATTCCCTCATTTTCAGGTCCGTCGCTAGCCATTGTGTTCAAGGGGGGTTTCGAAATTCCATTTGCCGACAAAGTTGGCAAGCCATACTTATTTGCTGACTTGTTTGGAAATTGCCAACTAACCACTAGATTGCAAAAGGACCTCATTTTTGCAAAAGAATTTTGTTTCAAATTTGCGTAACACCCCTACACGCCTCCTATAGCGAGGGGCCTTCTCCTTTTGTCAGTCATCGCCCCCTCTTGCGCTTCGTTTTCGGAGTTCTCATACAGTAAACACCCGCATATAAGAACCTAGTGTATTTATAACCTACATGCTGAAATTTTTAAATTAGACCCCCATTTTATACGAGCCTAGACTGCGTCGCAGTCTGCTCATGAGGCTAATACGAACCCATATAGCCTGAAATCTAGACCATAAAACCATATAGGTTCTTATTTGTAGAAGCCCAAAATTACATTAAAAATCTAGTTGCCTGTTGGTTGTCTCTGAGCTTATCCCAAGATAAAGTGTTTTACTGTTCGCTATTCAACTCAAATTAAAGTCTTTGGTGGACTCATTTTTGCTAAACTTTCTCAGCACCTGTTAAGGCGAGTCTGTAGGTAGTGAGGGTTTCCAGTAATAGGTTAGTAAGCCACTGGAATTTCCAAACCTTCAGCCCCAATAAACGTAATAAAATGCTTGTAGTTTGAATTGGAACAAGATAATTTTGTGAAAGCCTTGCATCAAGTAAGAGCCATTTAAGAGCCTAAACAGCCTCGTTTCCTATTGAATACCTAATATGAAAGACCCTAGCCAGGCTTTCATTTCCGGCAAAATTGTAGGTTCTTATACTCGCGTGTTTACTGTATTTGTCACTGCTATAAGATCCGGTTTGAAAGGAACCTTTCTTTCTCCGATCCACAAAGCGGTGCAGACATATGTTTACTGTGAATCAGGTCTGGTAAAAGAGGTATATAGGTTACGCTCTTTGTAGCTGATTTCTTTTTTCTGCTTTAGAGCGAACCTCAAGCTGGGGGTGAAAGCCGGAATGATTCGTGCAAAAATCGACTGCCAATCTGGGTTAGATGCATTCAAAGAACGTCACAAAATTTTATCTAAAGAAGGAAAGGGCTCCGCTGTTCTCAAAGAATGGTTTTCATTTCAATACAGATCAAAAAGCCTTTATGAAAAGATCAATAAAACTGTAAGTGATGCGTGGTTGTCTGAAAAGGGCAAGAGCGTCGAAGAATCTGTCAAAGAAGCATTGGTGACAGGCGTGGGAGATCCGCTCGTCAAACTTATCAATTATCTGGAGTTCAATCACTCAAAGCATTGTTTGCCGAATGACTTGAGCAGTGGACTGGGGAATCTGCCGGTATCACACGTCTATGTGAACAGCGTCCCAGGTATTGTTTCGCAGTGTCATATGCGTAGATTACATCGAAGGTCGTCACCACTTAATTCAAGTCAATGATGACGTCATATGTTCATATTGAAAGTCTGAATATGTTATTGCTGAGAATATCAGCAAACACGAGCTTTAGTAGTTATGCCACATTTGTGAAGCAAAATTATTTTCTATTCAACATTCCTAATAAAGGTGAGATTGTCCAACGCACAGTAAGAATTAATGACGACGAGCTGAAAGTACCAGCTTCCTGCAAAATTGTTATCACTATCTGAGAAAGAAAAAAGATTTTGCTCTACGCTTTCACAATTTTTCAAGCATTGACAAAAGGAAAATAGTAACAGATTTTTTCAAATAGATAAAAATGGAACTTTGGTGAAATCAGGTTATTTAATAGAGTTCTGTTCGATATTTAATAGTTTGATAGATGCTGCCTTTAACATTTTGATTCATTGCACAAAATGGCGGAAACATATCATACTGTAGCATTTTTCGTCCGACGCTCTTCACAGTCTAAATTTCGAATAATGACCAACGTTAACGGAGAATTGCCCCGAATCAAGAAGAAAATTCAAAGTGCCCTGTATAAGCAAACGCTCAAGTAAATGTCTCTTTCGAAAAAGAATTCATACAAAACCATGAACAATTTGTATGAAAAAATTCTATTGAAGATTCAAAACATTATCGGTATCGTTTATAATTTTCGCAGCTTTTTTCTCAACCTCTTTTCAGCTTCTTTCACACGTTTTAGGCAAGGCAACAACGAAGAAAATGCCACTAACAGGAGAAACTCTTAGTGGAAAAGAGGGGTACAAGAAAATTCTCTACTACTTCACGACGTTTGATATTAGCGCAGAGGACATCAAAACTGAAGGAGAGAAACAATTGAAATATTTTTACAACCAGGTAAAAAATTCTTATCTGTAAGTTTCATGATTAAGACCACTTTCCAAACGATGTATCCACTAAGGGTCCAAAGTTCTACTCCGCAAAGCCTTAGAGGAAATCCTATTCTTTTAGATTCTTTAAGTTGGGGCTGCTCAGGCTAGGGTAAAAACAAACAACCCAAAAAATAATTTCTAGCTTAAAAATTGTCTCAAAAAATAATTTTTCTCAGCCTGAGCAAAAAAGTTTGAAACTTTTCTCTTCTTTTAACCCTTTTCTCACATTCCAAACCCAAAAAATAATTGTACAATTGACTAACCCAAAAAATAATTATACAATTGTCTAACTCAAAAAATAACTTTTGCTCAAATTCTAGACCCAGAAAGTAATATGAGTACCGCCATCCCAGAACTATGTACCCTTTGAGTATCACTCTTCCATTATCGAGCAGAATGATAGTATGAAGTGTGAGGGTTATTTGTAAGTTGAATTCTATGTTATTATCATAGTTAAATTTAAGACCAAGAAGGCATACAAATAGGGGGTACAGTAATGGTAACAGGGGGTATGGATATGATCATATGATGCTTTCTAGAGTATTGAAATTGCGAAGAAGATAATGAAGGATGCAAAAGATACAGACGATGCAGTTGCAAAGTTCAGAAAGTACCTAGATAGCGACGAGATGTGGCATGGAACTGTGAAGTTCCCAGACAACGAATCCAACGCAGAAGCTTATAAAAAATGCAACAGCCACAAAACTGCGAAGATATATTGTCCAGTTCGTTGGAGAAGCCTAATGATTTGGGCTGAGGTATGTGATTCTCGCTTTTCTAAATTAAGCTTTCTGGGATGGTTTCGGCAGCCCATTATCTAGTCATTTGGCGCATCTTTATCAGAAAGTTTATTATAAACCTTTCTTAGTTCTGCTCATCAAATGCTGTTTGCGTAGACAAAAGTTTTTATGCACCACCCTGTTGGAATAGCCTCCTTTCGACAAATCAAAAAGCTCTGCTATCATTGCCCACACACAACTCTAAAATCTACATTTCCTCGCTTGTTGTCTGTTGAATGTTTTCTGCTCTTCAAATCTTGATAGTTGTCATTCACTTCTTTAATGAGCTGTACGATTGGATGTCCCATTAAATCTGCAATTCTATGTTTGTTTGTGTATAAAGCATCTCCTCAAGCCATGGAGATTCTTTGTCCATCAACGTTTTATGCTACGTCAATTATTTGATGTTCTAATTTTCTAGTATTTCCAAACTGTCATGTCTATGATATACCCAAAACTTGTGACGCTGTTTAACTTCAGTGGAGATAAGAACACTGTCCCAAACTGTCCCATTGAGATGGAGCCACACTATAACCCTTCAAATGGCGCTCAATATTTCCAGAAAAGTGACGGAAAGTGCTCCTCGACAACAAGATTTGGCATGCCATTTTTCCTGGAAAAATACGGGCCTAAGTATCAAGAATGGTCACTTACTGGACACGAAGCTCGCCCTGGGCACCACACGGAATATCAAGGTATTGCAATCAAATGCACCTCACGTTTCATATTGACTCTGAGAAGATATCGATGATCGTCTATGATGATAACGATTTTAGAATTGTGTTTCCCACATAACATAAAGCCATCTGGCTTTTTATAATTAAATGTCTTGTTTGCATAAGTACAGACAGGTCACACATAAAGCGATGCAAAATATAACTGAGTTCATGTCTTTACTTAATAGAATGTATTAGAAGAGACACTTTTAGGGTACAAATGTACCTAATAGAGAAACATGATAATGATGATGATGATTGTGTCATGCTGGACTAATGCTGACAACTGGTAGTCTTACTGTCTTACCAAAGCTTGATTATAATATGTACATACATTTTCTTGCATTCAGCCAGTCTTAGAGCGAGCAATGTGTCTTCAAGTCTCTTGCAAGCTGCCAAGCTACTTCTATTAGAGGGGCTTAGAGAGTTGCAACTATATTGCGTTGCATAAGGAGCATATGATTAATCAACTTTCACTTTATTGGCTGGCCCAGTGCTGCATTTTAGTATCTTATCATCAGCTGTATAACAAAGATAAAATTTCTAACAAAGTTGTTATCGTCACATATCAGGAACAGAAGAACACTTTAGAGACAGGTGCGGTGGCTTGCCGAATTGGTTTGACAAACAAGGCTACTACATCGCGTTCACCGAAGGCTGGGCTCTCTACGCTGAGAACCCATTGCTATCTGATGACGTAGATTTATATAAGGAAAACATGCTGCAGAAGTATGGCATGTACAAATGGCAGGTAAGTGATACCAGAATGTAATGGGGGTTTACTAGATCAGTCCTGAAGTCATGTAAAATTCTTGCGAAAATTGCTTGAAACACGTAGCAACATGTGTGTTTACTTCATTTTTCATATTTCCCAAATATTAACACTTCTACCCCTTCCTCCAGAACAATGGAGAGAGTTTAGGAAAATATCATGCACACCTCATGACAAATACACTTCCTTATCGCTCAAGTCGTTTTATAGTGAACCAAAATTGTTCCTAGGGGTAGAGGGGATGATCTACCCTTAAAGAGTGACGTCATTGCTCCAAGATTTTTGGCGAAGATTGTAGCAAACGGGTAGCACGCAGTCATGTTTGTAGGAACACAATTAACACACTGCTCTAGGCTCTTTGCCTTCTTGCCTGAGACAATTTCCCTTACTACAAAGAGGGGCAAGCAAACGAAAGCTTAAAGCTTAAGTTAACTGCTTTCAAACTGGAAGTATTTGATATGCAATCTCTTTTTAAATTTTGTAGATATAGCTATCATTTTTGCGTATGTTCTCTGATAAACTTGGTATTGCTAGATAGAATACCCTGCGAACCAGTGTCTACACATTAAAATAGGTACCAAGGGTATATGTGGACTCAAACGGGACATTTGCTGTTCCTTTTTTCGCAGACTTGGAGGGCAGTGAGACTGATTGTGGACACTGGATTGCATTACAGAGGGAAGAATATGTAAGTAATAAACATATCTTCATAAATGGTGTTGCAAAAAGCAAGCATTTACAGACATACTAAATCTTTCGTCTGACACTGTGTAAAGTAAAAATGTCAGAATATGATCACAAATGTTATGTTTTATGCCAAGTTGTGAATTAAAACAGGTAAATCAGAAACTCTAGTGCATGACAGTAAAGGTTTCACAGTCAGCGACGTTTGCCTAATGAGAATATTAGCAATGGAGCCAATTGTGAAAACGAAAACGCTCTGTCTACCCAATTTGGTAACAGGTTTGTTTTCACAAAGCCATTTCTAACTTTGCACTACTATATATTTTATTATTAACTTGCGATATTTGTGTGTTTTCATATTTTTACCAACTACAAAGGCTGTTGCCTCGGCTTGATGCACATTTATAAGTGCGGCACAGTACGAGGCAAATGACTCCCTGGAAAGGTGCTTTTCAAGAGCCTCTCTTTTAGAGTTGATTATGCACGATTTCAGTAACCGATCACGATTTATTTCTACAGTAACGACTTCTGTTAGCTTATCTGCCTATATCTGCACAAATTTCTGTTCTGCTGTAATATAATGCATGAAAATAAAGGGCAATACCCACTGTCATAATGGGGCGGGGTGTAAAGGGGTCTTGTGTCTCCTTGCAAGTATGGGCTCTGATTATTCTATATTTCAGTAGAAATTCCCTCTAAGGCTATCTGATGTGTGATACCTTCTGCCCTAATATTCTTTTATTGCTTGAAAATTAATAGCTAATTTCTTGTGAATCGTCTCCAAGTACATAATTCTCAAATTCTATGAAAGGACCTGGGCACGGAAGATGTTCGAAGATTATACATGGGACACTGGTGATTTTGCCAGGAAAGAAATTGTTCGGTACATGAGTGACCCAGGACAGGCTTTGGCCTACATGCTCGGCAGACTGGAGATTCTGAAAATGCGGAGGAAGGCTGAGAGAGAGCTGGGCTCGAAGTTCGATCTCAAAGACTTTCATTATCAGGTTTACGCCATTTTGGTTTTGAAATTAACTATGTATTTTATTTTGAAGTAATTTGAAACTGGTTCTAACTCTTTGTCAGATATTTTATTGGGGGTTTCATTAGTTTTCAAATTTACTGCGTTCTTCTCGTGATAAGTCATCTTGCTGATCATCTCGGTGACAGCATTTACTTAAAGACAGCTGTGCCCTCAATGATTGGCTAATATGAACAGTTGGTTTTCCCTCCTTAACCGATTACGCCGCTCCCTTTGGCTGGCCTAGCTGCGTTGGTTGACGACTTTTGAAACTTGCGAACTAAGGTTTCTAGTTAATGAATAAGGTTGATTGGCATGCACCGCTTCTTGTAGAATTTTTAACAGCCTCATTCTTCCTTGCTTAGTTCGATTGTTCATGTCTTGCAAACCTCTTATCTCTAAACTGTAGAACTAACTTCAGTGTTGCAAATTCTTGGTTGCTTGAAATTTGCGTAAATGGGTTAGCAGGCATGACATGACTAGGGGACATTGTTGAAACAGAGAAAAACGCCTATTCAAAGCTGTTTTTCTTCGGGGATCCACTATAATAACTAAATGACAGCAAGAATGCTCTAACCTCGAGCTATATTTGATAGAGAAGGGAGAAGTTCGGAAAACTTCTCCGTCGTACGTGACTCAGCTCCAATTCCTTTTTTCTTCGAAGTAAACTTTTCAAGTTGTCACTGTATGTTTCCTTTTATTGTACTACGTCATTTCCAACACCTCATGACATCATTTTCCCTTTCAGCTTTTATCGCAAGGCTCATCTCCTATAGCGTACCTCAATACCCATATCAATCGCTACATAGAATGCATTAAAGACCGCAAACTACCAATGTGTGAGTATATTCTCACACCGCTACGATCTCTCAAAGATGACTTGCAGGCGACTGTCGTAATGGACACCGGGCCGAATGTTCCACCTATTTTGAGATACACCTAAGTTGGTTCTGCGCCATTCAGAAAACAACTTCGCTGTTTTTAATATATATATATATATACTATGCATCCACAGATGATATTTTACAGAAGCTATTCCTTTTTTAAGCACTATTTTAACTTGTTTTTTATTTTCTGCTTTGACCTTTCGCATAATTTAGATATTAAGACAACTTAAGGGAGAGGGGTTTATCATAGTTAACAGAAGTGAGAACTGCTAACTAACATGTGTTCAATTGGAGGAAGCAAAGTCTTCGTAAATCTGCCTCGATGCCATTCAGTACCTTTTTAGAAATGTCCTTTGAAATCGTGAAACACAGGACCTTGGAGCGTTGAGAAAGTTGGGGGGGGGGGGTCTAAAAAAGTGGAGGCTAAAACCGTATATAAAAAGACTTTACTGGCAGTTTATTACTTAATGTTTGGCCTTTTTTTGCAAAAAGTGGGGGGGGGGGGGGGGGGGGGGGGNGGGGGGGGGGGGGGGGGGGCTAGAGCTCCGCGATGCCTGAAACAGGAGTTTTGCCCCTTTTTATTTTCCGTTGCCAAGAATGCATAATTGAGTGGATTTTGGGCTGCTACCTTTTTGGTGATGAAATCAATACGCTAGCCTTTAATTTTTAATTGGCCAACGCTTTCTGTAAATAATCGAGTCTTTATTTAAAAGCCTGGTGGTGCCCTTACCATCTACTTCTACCCAGTTTGGGGGTGTTGGTCCTGTACCATATGCAAGCAAATAAAATCGAACGATATTGGTTCCATTTCTTCACTACCATGCACACGTAGAGCCCTTACAACGAGATTAATAGTCCTTTAGTGATGACATCATGACATTTGTTGTATGTATTACTATTTCATACTGAACTTTAAGACAATTCTAAAACAAACGATAATAATCTTATTGCCTTTCACTCGGTTTTAATTTGGTAGGCATTTTTGTAAGAAATTTGATGATCACTTAATTGAGGAACATTTTGATATTTAAGTGGGTGTCTTAATTCCTTTCTATCTTCTATTTTATTTCTATATCAACTACTTTTTATAAAATGTTGACAAAATTGTAATTATCACAAGGTTTAGTTTTTTTTATTAGAAATTGTATCCTGCTTCTTATTCAAATACTTTTTTTAGTATGTCTCCCTTGTGAATCGTCCGTTGCCTTGCAGAGTATTGTTTATTAACTAGAGTATAGTGGAACGAAAACGAAATTACGCAGAATTTCGCAAAAATACTAGCACGACTTGGTATGAAAGTCGAAATCCGAGGAAACTGAATTACATTATACAAACTCTAAGCAACAAAATATATCCATTCGTAACAGAAAGAAAGTTCGCTCCAATCTAAAAATAATAAAAATGTCTAATTGAAATAAGTGGTGCCTAATACATTAAACTAGCTATAAAAACATCTAACTATTTACAATTAAATACTAAAACTTAATCCTAACTAGCATTAAATTATCATATAAAAATTAGTATAATCGCAAAACTAAGAATTTCATATATCTATTTCCATTCCTACATGCCATCTATAATTTTTTGTTTCTGTTATAATTGAACTAAGAAAACATTTGCAATCTTTGCAGACTATGACAGTTTTCCCGCCAAAAATTCGTTTTGAGCCAATGCGAAGTAAGGACTGCCGCTTGCACGGAAATGGCGTGATTGTGTCGTTTGAGCTGCTCTCTGCTATATTCCCGTAGCTTTTGCTTAGGAACTTCGTCTTATTCAAGTCCCCTTGATTCTCATCGCATTTATTTTTGTTCACATCAACAAGGTGGTTTGGTATTTCGAAGTTTGTCACGATGCAGTTATTGCAAAACCTTTTGGTGCAGATATCACAGAAACTGGCCTTATTGAGCAAGGAAAAGGATGTCTTTCTGCACGAGAAGCAGATCTTTCCATTTTTCACACCGCGGTTTTTTCCAACTGATGCGGGTAGGGCATCCAGTTCCGCAAACGTGATTGCTTGTCTTGTCTTCGCTATTTCGTATAACGAAGTTCCGACCGCCCGCGGGTCCTCGTCCAAGCTCACCTCAGTCAAACACATTGCGCTCACAGCTAACCGCTTCTTTGTATGGTCCAGTGTTTCATTGCTTGTGCCCAGACCTCCAAATGGAACATCCTGGCCACCAATGTGTTCTGGAGAATTCTCTTTGCTCTCTTTCAAATGCAGAACGCCCATATCAACAGAATTTCTTCGTGGCTCATTTCTCTCAGTTGAAAACAATTCTGTCCGCGGTTTTGGCGGATCAAGAACTCGATCGTCAGACAACAAGCTTTCGAGGCTCGCATCCCAGTTGTGTATTTTTGACCAAAGTGGCGATTCAACTTTTAGCGATTTTCGTCTGTGATCAAAAGCGGCATTTTCATACTCCTCTGTGATTTTACTGACTTCTAAATCGTGGTTTTCGTCGGATTCACTTGCGTCCTCTTCGATATATGGTAGAAGCGTTTTCTTTTTCTTTTCGACCGGCCTAGACAATATGAAGTCCAGAATCACTTCGCTTGCATTTTCTGGCAGTCCGCTTGCTTCACCGGGTTTTAGCTTTATGCCGGATGAAACACAACCATCTGAAACCATTTCATACGGCAACAGCTCGAACTCTTCTGGCGAAATTTCAGTTTGCGTCACCTTTCGCAAATGTACTCCGCGTCGTAACTCATGCATAACTTGGAGCCATAGACGGGCCCATTCATAAACGCATTCTTGTGCAGTATCGGCCACACTTGGTTCCAGGCTGCGGTTCTCTGATTTTTCGCTCGCGGTATCGAGACTCGAAGTTACGTGATCTAAGAACAGCTTCAGTTCAAGTGCCTCTCCGTAAAGCGCAGCTACGACATTTCGGTAATGTTCGCTGCCACTTTTTATGTTCTTCTCAAGAAGCCTGACGTCACAATACTGGCAAATTTCGTCAAGGGTCCGACAATGTTTCACACGCCCAAACGAATTTCGTGGCGAAACAGTATCGTCACCTTCGTAACCCTCATCATTTTCCTCGCATTTCGGAAACAAAATTTCTGTAATAAACTGCCCAATGTCAGGTTCACAGCTGTTGTTATTTTGCAATGAATATTTATCGGGTTTTCTGTTTAGGCATTTGCAAAGAAGTTGGCCTAATCTTTCGACAAGTTCGCTTTCAAGCTGTACACTGCCCGTACATTCCCTCATCATTACAAGAACATTTCCGCATTCCGTGAGCTGTATCGTTTCGGCTTCAACTTCAAAACTCACTTTCCTCCGCCTCGTCACATTTTCGCGTCTCTTGCTCGCCAAGTTATTTGCAGTGACATAACAAACAGCCCAGGTTTGCTCTTGGCTCAGCTGCGAATCAAAGTTCCGTATGATCTCACTCAAGAACATTTTGTACGCTTTGCACTACCGGCGAACGCCCACAGACCAATCTTGCAAGCGACCTAAATCGACTTTCTTTCACCAGAAACTTTGCTTGCAGAGTTTTCTGGTTTCGCTGTCCGTAGACCTGAATTTCCTTTTATGCAGCCTTGATAAACAAACTTTTCCCTCTGTAATGCTATGCAGAAAATTTGCACACGAAACGTCCTGTTGACATTCCAGTAAAAAAACACAATGCTCAACACAAACGAAATGTTTACCAGCCGAGCTTGTCAGCAGCTACCGTTCACGTGAAAAATAAATAAAATCCAAGATCCATAAAAATTGTGTACATATAATTTGTCTCCTCGGCAATATCACCTCCAACTTACAAATATACCGTATACAACGTCCCCTACTGACAATTTCGTGTCAACATGCGAATTTATTACAACATAGTGATCAAAACAATTTATAACCTTGTTATTATAATCGATTGTCTTCAGCAAACGAATTTCGCTTCCTACTTCGTCGCTATGTGAACAATTAAACGTCTTTCTCCTTGCATCAGTGCATTTTCAGACGGGCAATTTGAAACCAAACCAAACGCCAACTCATAACCATTATTTAGAGGTTTCGAATAGATCGGATGATATACACGTTACAACTCCCATTTGATACACAAATTTTCGATAGATTACGGCTTGCTTTTCTCCATTTCTTTGGCTTTGCTAGGCCCTTTGTGATCCTTTATGAACCATTGAATTGTTAAATATTAATCTGTAGTGAGAATGTATTTCAGTCTCCATGGCTACCATTCATCATCAGCTCTTTGTCTTGGTTGATCATCTGGCAGGTGATCCGAAGGACGATCAAAAGAATGTATTACGTAATCTCCTTCGTTGAGGCCGCCGCCCTGATTTGTAGATCTTGGAGGAAAGGGACTCTCTTTGATGCCAGTTTCCCTCGAGTGTCTTCACAGACTTAATGTCTCGGCAACTGTGTAAAACCGGTAGCACATTTTCTGTGAAAACTGCATTACTTAGGAAATAACTGCAATGCTCTCAGTGGATATGCGAATCAGACTAGCATAGAAAATACATAGATATAAAAAAAGAACCAAATCACTCAAAATCTTTTATCAAGTAATTTTGTTCACATTCTAGCGACTTTTGTCCTTTTTAAATGTCTTTATCTACTTACAAACAAAATTTTCAAGTCAATTTGACTGTTTGTTTTTTAACAGTCTCTTAACACTTTTTATACTCTGATTATTTATGCTTTTCATGTAAATAAAATAGGCCTAAGATATTTGGTTTTGCAAAAAAAAAGATTTTGTGAAATAAAAGGTTTGAAGCCATCATTCATTATCATTTCTCAAAGTATCAGGGGGTATTATCGGTTTTGTATCGCTTTTAGGCCGTTTCCAACCTGCCTACAACTTCCAATGCTTATGGCTGCTTATTTAATCATACACTCCCCTCACGAAAGTATCCGGACAGTTTCGAATTCAGTTGCGAATTTGTTGTTTGAGAAATTTGTTTCCAAATTTCAAAGTCTGTTTTCATGGAAATATTTTTATCAATTTCCTCGCATTTTTTCTTAAAGTTGTTTTGGCCTTTGATTTATTTATTCGTCGAAAAAAAGTAATCTTATCGATATGTAAGCAAACTCTGTGAGGGTGTTTTCCTCAAGATGGTAGCGACCGAAACAAAATAATTAACTTCTGAGCAGCGTCTAGAAATAATGTTTTATCACAATGATGGGAAAAAGCTATCATTAAATTGCTAAAATCATTGAATGCCTAAAGACTGCCGCTTTCGAGATATGCAAAAAGATTTGAAAAACAAGAAGTCTAAAAAATTGTTCACGATCAAAAAGAGCAAGAGCTCTCTCGACAGCAACGTCTGAGCGACACCAAACTTGCATCGAAAATGGTTTGCATCATTACGCAAAATTGCATTAAATGTTTATAAACAATTAAATTTTTAAAAGCCGTCGATAAATATTGCAAGGAAAATGATAAAGAATTGTGAATGTACCCTCGTACCGACCGATTTTAGCAAGACTTGCAGCGGAAAAGAAATAATATGGCTTTATGGCCCTGGGCTGAGTGATATGTCTGCTTTCAAAGAAGTTTTTGATCTGGTAAAATGTTACCAAATGTTATCCATGTTTTATAATCGATCGGTGGCAGCTCCATGCAAACATTTTTCCCAACTGAAAGTACACATGTTGTATTTCTCTTTATTCAACAATATTTTTGTCTCAATAACCAGTTTGTAAAAAATTACCAGGTTTTATTGGCCCATTTTAACTGAGTCAAAGTCACCTGACTTTGCTGTTCTCCGCTTACTTGACATCAGTTGATTTGCGTAAGGCTTGTAGCGTAAATGTTTCTCATTTTAACAAAAAATGATAACAGATAAAAAGCGCAGAAGTTTTGCAGCATTTTGGTGTTCTGGTGAAGATGCAAAGAAACCTCGAGAGTGCTGGCCTGGTTACAAACTTTTGGCCGGGCATTGGTGCCCTTACAAATTTTTAGATTTTGTAAGGGCACCAACGATAAGCTATAGATTTTGACGATTTTATCAAATCTAAGAAGGAGATGACGGGGGCGTTAGAATAGGAAATTAGTACGATTAGAACGATTTTCATTATCTCCACCAGTTTTCCAAGATCTCTTTTTCATCATTCATTTTCTCTACCAAGTAAACCAATTATTTATTTACTTTTCTTGCAAAAGAGCCAATCAATTAACAAAAAAATACGGTCATCAAGTTATTTGAACACTCCAAAAATCTTCAGTAATACCCCCAGTCACCGGTATAGCTAATAAGAGAGAGGGGCTACTGACATAAACCATTGTTGAATAAAAGTTATGAAATAATGCAAGACAGCCGCCTTGTGTAGCATCAATACTTGACATTTGAAGAAATGCCAATGATTTCATTTCTATGTGTAATGCATTGGCGTGATCTTAATATTGACCCAAGCGTATACTGATTGCCATTGTTTTCTGTTAATAGCTTATGCTTATAACCACATGCTAAAGGTCTCTAATGGCTTTTGATTAATAGAGTTCGCTGAAACACGTTGATTGTCGTTTGCTTCAAACTCTCTTTCTGTTGAACCCAAATTCGCAACATATGCATTTCTTACAGAATCATTCACATCACAGATGTCTTAATATACTGAAAAAAATGAATAACGTTGTGAAGACCTGCAGAAAATGACACAATTATTTGTCGCTAATCGTAAATGCAGCAAGTTTACTGAAACATCAGCTCTGCACAAATCTTCAGAACATCGACTAAGGAGAAATCGTTGATAAATGGGAAACCCTACACCAAGAAAGTTTGGCTCCTCTCTTTGGTACATTTGATTATGGCAAAAGTGCTCTAACTGAAATTTGTATAGCTAACATCTCCAAAAATTTCTCAATTCTATTTTTAAATGTAAAAGCGCAGTTAACTGCGCCTATTTGATTGCAAGATTTAGTATTTAGCACTGAATCAAACCTATTTTTAAAAGATACAGTGATAACCATTCTGTGCAGTGATAAAACGATTTTGTGTAATGATAAACTGCAGAAGTGGGCAGCTATTTTAGTCATGGCGGTTATTTCGTACGCATTTTGTGCAAAATTCAAATTTTATGGACAACGATAAATAAATTTGACAACCTGTAAAAGTATCTATGCTGCGAAAAAGGGCGTGTCTAGCAAAAATATTTCAAGGCCCGCCTCAAATCCACTTGACTTTCACTATGTTAGAGACCTCACCCCAGGTCCCTGGAAAAATGAACACGTGTCGTGAAGAGTTGTTGGTAGGAGGAGGAAGGAGGAGAGGGCGTAGATTTTGAGTGCACTAGCAACGTAATATGTAATCAGCTTGTATCTTATAAATAATAAAATCAAAAGCTGGAGAATTTTCTGTTCAAAGTCTAACACGTGAAACACAAGGCCCGCAACACACTATAATCTGCCGAATATCTATCCAGCAGGCAATGTTTACCCAATGGCAACACTGGGGAAGCTAACAGCAGTCAAGAAAGGAACTAACGTCATTATGATGATGTTGGTCCATGACAATTACCCTCTCCAGCGCTTGCCCTACGTATTTCAAGACCCCCCTTTAACGAGACATACATGCAGGGGCGTATTAGCCAGGGGAGCACCAGGAGCAAATGCCCCTCCAACATTCAGAAAATGCCCTTTTGAAAAGTAACCTCTTTCTTTGCTCGTCAAACCTTGATGCCTTTACGACGTCCCTACATGCATCACAATCTATACTGTTAGGTAATTGCTAGCAAATAGATAGATTTAACTTTACTTGATAAGATTGGGAATTAGATGAGGTTAATCAGGATCCTAGAGACTTTTGGAAAACCAACAAAACCGATTTGTCTTTTGCATATGACTCTGGAATGAGTGATAAGATTTCTAAACATATGCAACAGTGGGCTACAGTGGCGGAATTTAAGGGGTTTAGAGGATTTTAGGGGTCTCGGGCCCCCCAATCAGCAATGTTGTCGGAAAATTCGGGCTTTTGTCGGATAGTTGACAACCGTTTAACGTATCGAAATTACTCCAAGAAATCGTTCTGAAAAGGAATTTCAAGCTAATCTAAGGGGCGTGATTACAAAATTTTCCGGTGATCCGCATTTTCCCTTCTTACTCAACGGTCCTGTATTCTTTCTGTGCCCTTTTGTCAAATTTGAACATAGCATAGCTGATAAAGTATTAGCCAGTACTAAATAATCAAACAAACAATATATGACAAAAATCAAAACTGCTTGTCAATTGTATATTCTTGCTTATTCCGTAAATTCCGTAAAGATTAGCCGGAATTTCCATCGGATTCGTCCGAATAAAAGTTATTTTCAAACGTATTTCCCACTGACGAAAACAAGATAAAATGCAGAAAATGAACGTACGACTTTACGTGTAATCGTGTCATCGGTCGGTCGACCTCTTGTATCATCAATTGTCTTAAATGAGATATCGATCTTGATATCAAAAAACATTAATGGATTGTTCTTTTTGCTACTTAATCATGGTGTGGTCAGGAAAAATTTCTAAAGAGTCTCGTCAAAAATCACTTATTTTGATCAATTGAGCAGTTTCTTCAAAATGAGACATGATTCAAGATGTTATCTTGTCGGAAAATTGTAGGCCTGGGCCCCCCCAAATGAAAGCCTGAATTTCCGCCACTGGTGGGCTACTTAATTTGCAATTGCCTTGCAGTTCCAAAAATTGCAAAAATTGTGCTTAAAGATCTTATAAGCGCAGCTTGATCTGACAGTATTTCGTACGGCAGGTATAGAAAAAGCTATATTTCTATCCATGCTCCCCAATCTAGTTTAGCAGTCTACGGGCATGCAACAATCAATAGGCTTTAAATGTCTCCTATTGTAAACTAAACAATAAAAAGAAACGAGATACAGCTGGAAGACTGAGATGCCTTTCAAGCTTTATGCTCATAGAAATATAGACATGAATTGACATCTAAACATAGAAAGGAATGACTCGTTATTCTTGAAAGTTTCTTACTGAGAACATTTATTTACTGTCTTCAAAAGACAAGACAGGGTGTTTTATAATTACATTTAGAAATTTGTTCAAAGTTATGTGTGTCGAAAATGCTGGGCTTGTCGCTAACAGTTTAGAATAAGATCTTAGCTTTTTGGTAATTGGAAACTATTAGGGGATGGGGAATTATTGTAAATGAAAACCTTACATGTATTGCCTAGGATCTTCCTCTCGACAAACTTAATGTGGCAAGTATTCTAGATGCATT